ATATATATATATATATATAGTGGTTGCCTGGCCAAAAGGGCCCCACAATACAGTAAGGGGGGCCCGAATTTAGTCAAGAATCAACCAATTCAATGTAGGTCTAAGGATCACAGGTGCTTGCAGTTTCTTAGCAGAATAAAAGGGTTAAAAGAAAGGGGAAGTAAAAAAAAAAATCTAAATATCCAGAGTTGCACAACTGGTTGCAACTTGCCATTAGGTAGGCTACAAATACAAGTCCTTACTAGGGTTTACAAGAAACACAAGGGTTTACCCTCTAATAACAAGTTTAAGAACTATTTTGCTTTCATTTCAACGCTGTACGTGATGACAAGAAGTTAGTGCAAGTGTATTATCATGCTTTCTGCAAGTAGGCACACTACCTTTGCATGCTTAACAAGCATGCTTTATATAATAAGCAGGGCAAGTATTTAATATAAGCAGAAGTCAAAACATTTCAGATTGATTGTTGAGTCCTATATATATATATCATTTTTTTGTAGTCTGTATGGCGTGTCTGGTACCTGTCTGTTGTTTTTCACCTCCTCGTCTCCGTTCAGCAGTGGTGTTCTCTCTCCGCGATCATCGCCTCGGCCAGACCATGACACTTTCTTCGCGATGTTGGCCATGTCTTATTTGACCATTAATTACACATCAAACCTGCTAACTGTAGAACTACTGCGAACACTTCTTCCCCATGACTAACAATCATAAGCGAACCCGTGACTAGTGTACGGAAAGCGGAAAGGTTCAAGAGAGAATTCGTTTTCAAAGGAAGTCTGGGAATTGTAGTTCACAGTTCTACAGTTGAACAATTCTGGGTTTTGTGTCAATAATGGCGTGGGGTAGTGACTGAAATGGCTCTGTTCTGTTATAAGGGTTAAAACATGCTCATAACGGTCGTATCTAATATTTTAGATTATATTAACTCTGTTAAACATCGCATATTTCTCAGCAATTAGAGTTAGGCCTACTAATAAAATAATGACATGCTAAAATAACGACGGTTTCCAACAAGCAGGTTTCTCCACACACTAACCTATTGTTACATTGCAAACATTTATTTTCCTTGTATATATCCTATTATATATCCAATGTATATATACTGTATGTATGAACATGTGACAGAAATGTATTAATTAATGGCCTCAGAAGGGGTGAACATTTCGGTAACACTTTAGAATAGGGAACACATAATCAATATGTATTAAGACTTTTTCCTCAATAAACTCCTAATTTACTTCTTATTAATGGTTAGTAAGGTAATTGTTAAATTTAGGTATGGGGTAGGGTTAAGGGATGCAGAATAAGACATTAATATGTGCTTTATAAGTACTAATAAACAGCCAATATGCTAGTAATATGCATGCTAATAAGCAACTAGTTAATAGTGAGAATTGGTCCTTAAAATAAAGTGTTACCAAAATTTCAAAATGTTCAGAAAAGTGCAGACTAAGATGCTCTGATCAAAGAGGGAATTACCTCGAAGAATTGCATTGTATTGTATGAATTCAGGAAGGGAATTACCCCGATATAGCTACTGTATTATATTGTATTATATCCAGGACATGAATTACCTGTAGTATTGTATTAAATAGATTATACATTTAGTGTTTTTCCAAGACAAATGCTCCCTAAAGCTTACAATCATGTAAAAAGAAAAGATTAAATATTATTTTTCATATTCATTCAATATGTATTTATTTCAATGTGAACGTTTTGCTTTGGCAACTGTTAGGTTATAATGGCAATTATGCTTTAACTTTACAATAATTATACAGTGAACAATAATGTAATAATGTTCATAAAAAGAAAACAAAAACACTGCAGTTTGTCCAATGCTACTGAGAGTTGTTTTGTTTCATAGAGCATATTTGTGATAAATTCAGTTGCGTTGTAAATAATTAAAAAATACAAATTTGATAATTTGATATTGAACAGTGTCAGTGTCACTGATTTGTTACGATTTTGGGAACTCAGTATGGCAGACAGTATGAATACATTTTGTGTTTTTATTCTTGTGGTCTGATTACTGCTATATTTACAGCATTCCTTTAATATGAAGTCTGGAAAAAAACAACACAATTTAAGGTTCCTTGAGTCATTAATTGATTGCTAAACAAGAAATAGTGGCCTTCACGCTGTGTGCTGACTGAATGCAGACTGCATAGACCAACAAAAATAAAATGCATGTTTATTTAAAGCAAAGTTTATAGTTAAAATGAAAAGTAAAAGGTTTCATAAGCCCAAATATGATAAATGAATATATAAACTGCTGTTTTATCAAAATAAATGGAAATACAAAAATAATGTGTAATACAGAATTGTTTTTCTGGCTCATTCTGTTGTGTCTTTACATGCAGTGCTCCAGACACTCACAGGTAATATGATGAACAGAGCCAAACATCTGGTCTACATCATTCAGGCTGAGCACTGCTCCTCGTGGCAGCCCTTTGCCAGAGGCTAGTCCAGACACTTCCCCAGGGCTCAGGCTCCTAGTCCACAATACAAAGCCAGCCAGTTTGCCCACAAATGCTTCAGCTTCATCAAAGTCCCCTCCAATCGAATCCTGCTCCTGCCCCAGGACCATCGAGCCACCAGGAGGGATCTCATAGCCTTTCTGGAACTTGGATCCAGTAGATATGAGATGACGGTCCAAATAATACCAAAACCTGCCTTCAATGGAGGACCAGATGATGCATAAATGGTGCCAGTGGCCATCCAGGATATTTTGTAAAGATAATTCACGATACACTGGATCTCCAATCACAAAATCCATAACGCCCAGTATGCCAGAATTCCGGCCATAGAGAACAAGCATATTGTCATTGTTCTCTGTGGCGTAAGAAAGAATTGTTCCAAAATACTTGGCATCTACTTTTAGCCAAGTGCAGATAGAGAGTTCATGTATCCCTGTTCGGAAACTCCTCTGGAAGGTGACATAATTTTCAGCGGAAGCAGATGGGAACAGAAGCATCGAACCCACATTGCAAACTTTGAGGATGAGAGACAAAATAATTAGACACTTTACATTTTGGCATAAAGTAAAAAAGAAAATATTCTGTCTACCTTTGTCATCGTACTTGTTTCAGATCTGACCGTTATAGGCAAAAGTATCAAAATTGTCAAATGAAAACGTGTCACAGACCATATATTTCAGGGTAGCGCCATATTGAATTTTTAATAGGAATGGAAACAAGCCTGTGAGGGATAGAAGTGCAGTGTGTTCAATCGATTGCATTGTTATTTAACAATATACTGATTGTCCAGCTGACAAAACGTCTTTCTAAAAAATGGTAGACAAAGTTTTAAAAAATTATTTTGAAAGCTGTGACAAATTACATGACTTTTGTGTACAGTGCCTACCATTGTAAAGCAGCCTTGTTTTCATCCACATTAAATTCAATATGGCGTCTAATCTGATTAAGGTCTATATGCTTGCCTGTTTGGATTCTTGGAGATTCTGAGTAAATAGTTTTTGAATGACTGAAAATTACATTTGGTAAACAGTGACATTAAGGTTTTCAGTCTAAACTGTGGATACAAATGCATTTCGATTTCATTTTCAGACACAAAACCACTAGAGTTCTCTAAATACTTACTTCTGGCTTCTTCCTTTGGGGTTTGAATATGTGGGATTTTGTGTCGAAGTGGAAGCAGAAAAGGTTTCTCTTCAGCCTGAACTGTTGGTTGTACGGTGCTCTGCCAGAGCTGCTATTGTCTGTCTCTTATTTTGCTTGTCTGTGGTTGTTCGGTGGGCCCAGAACGCAATCGATCTCTCATTCTGTATTCTTCAGACTTCGGTTTAGGCTGGACATGCCTCAGGACCACACCTTGTTGCTTCTTGATAGAATTGAGAGGATCTAATCCTCCTTCCTTGGAAGTTGGAATGATCTTGAACAACCCTTGCATCTGACTCTCCAACTTCATTATCTGGGTCTGATGCCTTTTGAGAGAGGCCTGAAGGTCCCGCATTCCATGTTGAACCTGATTCTTAAAGGATTCCAAAGAGCCAATGTGACTTTGCAGTTTCTGGGTCTTGTGGGACAAGTTGGACAACCCTGTTCTCTGCTTTTGGATTTGTCTAAGGTTGAGATGGTTGTTTTCCCTCAGAGCTCTCGTCATGTTTGCTAGGCTCGACTCAAGCCTCTTGGTCTTTTTCTGTAGACTCTTAGTCCAGGATTTGAGGGAATTCAGGCTGTGATCTGTCGTTTCCTTGAATGCACGGAGCTCTCTGGACATCCTCTCAAACTGCCGACTCAAAACTTGGAATCGCGAGTCTATGTTAT